GTAGTCCAGTAGTAGTAGTCCAGTAGTAGTAGTCCAGTAGTAGTAGTTGGTAGTAGTAGTAGTAGTAGTAGGTGGTGGTAGTAGTAGTAGTAGTAGTAGTAGTTGGTGGTAGTAGTAGTAGTTGTTGTAGTAGGAGTAGCAGTCGCAGTCGCAGTAGCAGCAGCAGTGGCAGTCGCAGCAGCAGCAGTAGTAGCAGCAGTTGTAGTAGAATATATAGTAGTCTCTTCAAACTTTGCAGCCTGAGACTTCTAAGCTAGCCATCCGAACCAAACCGATGTGCAAACAATTGTCGTCAAGGTTCTGAGTCCTGCATGTTTCTCACTTTCCTCCACCTCTTTGGCCACCTCCTCTTCGCTCATGGCAGCCAGCCGTGCACGCTGCTGACGCGCCTTCGCGGGGGTCTGAACACCATCGGTTGGCGAAGACGGCCGGCGAACATGGCGAACGGTCGGCCTTCTCCCGGCGTGACAGGGTCGAGATTGCGGCTTGAGGCTCCACCACAGCACGGCCCATAGCTCCACGTCGCCTTTGGCACGCAATCGTTGGCAAACAGCCGGTCTCACGTTCAGAAACATCCGGACATTATAACATGACAGGCGAAACAGTGAAATATCAAAAAACGCAAAGGATCAAAGTTGAACGGTGTCTACATTGTTACATGCCCTCATGAAAGCGTTATATGCAACACACCGTGTTAGCATATCGGCGTAACAACGCTGCAGCATTATCAGCATGAAAACATGTTTGGACATCAGAATGACAGTGTTTGCAAGTTAGCATGACAGGCTGGCAAAACGGTTCAATGTTGACCTGACAGCGCGCACCATGCGAGCATGGTAGCCCGAAGCTTAGTCCAGAACTCCGAAACTTGCACCGGAAACTCGTTCGGAAGTCCCGGAACTTCCTCCGGGATCTGTGGGAACCTGCTATGGAACTTTCTCTCCCGAAGCCTGCGGAAACTGCTGCGGAGCTTACTCCGGAAACTGCTCCACAGCTTGCAACCGAACCTGCTCTGGAACCTGCTCTAGAGACCTCGAAGCTTCGCTGTTGGGCAAAAATGTGCTTTGCGAGTGCCCAACAGGAATCCTCGTTTGCGAGTGCCGGGTAACAATGTGCCTTGTTCAGACAATTTGGCATTGAGTAATGTGCTGTCTAAGTTGCTATAGCGTTGCTCTGACGCCAAAGTCTTGATGTTGTGTGGATCTACTCTTAACGCTAGGAGCTTTCAGGCAAATGGATTTGCCACTGAAATATTGGCAAGCCAACAAACGGCATATTGCGGACTGTTGCAGGATAGTGTGGGTTGACAATGTGCATACGTTTGACCTCTTGGCCAATGCCTTTCCTGGGAAAGCGAGATGCACACGGCATAGAAGTGAAGAAAGGCAAATCGAATCAGCGATGTGGTCTGGGCAGTGATGTTCTCTGCAGCCTTCGCAAGGAGGGGAAGCTTCCAATAGGTTGCATCGGGTTTTCGCAAAGTCCTCACTGCGACATACGTCACATGCTGTAGAATCGCTGGCTGCTCAAGGGTTCTGTGTAGTGTTCATTCCATCTTCCTAGAGCACGAAACACTCCTGAGCAGCTCATGTCATAGTATAGTGACGGACTCATACTTAGAACCTTTTTTGGAAAAAAATCGGGAAAAAGGAAACGCCTGACCAAATGGTTCTAAGCGTACGACACTTAGAATCTCCAGCTGTTGGAGAGGCATACTTAGAACCCCGAGCAAATGGAAGAGTTCCTGCAATGGAAGGGGGTTCGTTTTGGCATACAATGCTACAATGCTACGGATTCTGTCAACATTTCCCAAGATGCCTCTCTGGTGGCTGCCGCTTTCTCCGTTCCAGCTTCTCCTTTCAAAACAGGCTCTGTGCACTGTGCCACGTGTGCTCTGTCTTCAACTCACCAGGCCTCTTCTCGTCTTTGCGTGAGCAAAGCCTGCTGAAGCTGTTGGAAGCCTTCAGGCTGAATCTCCTCCTCGATCTGAACGTTACTTTCCGCTGAAGGCGCTTCATGGATTGCGGTCTGAATTTGGCCACAAGGTCTTGACAGCTATCAGACTTGGAATCCATGCTTTCAAGCACTCACTTGGGGTGTTGCGCACTCTTTTGAATGAAAAGCCCACACTGGGCCCCACGTGGCCTCCCAAGCCCCGTGGGGCTCCGTCAACCCAAGAACTCGTCCTTTCTTCGCGTCGCCACCATCTTGAGAGTGCTGAAGAAATCCGATTGGAAAAGACGAGCCTCAAAGAGATCCCAAGATATCAATCCCTTCCGATAGGAAACCCGACTGGAAATCTCTTCAGATCCCTTTCTATCCAAAAAGCGATGGAATTCGGGCCAGTTTGGTCAGTTGGGTCAGAAAAGGGTCGCGCCTTCACGAAGATGTTGGCCATGCTGGGCAGAGTCAAAGTTGGATTCCCCACAAACCTCCAAGACTCGGAGGTTACAACCGTCCGAATGCGTCGAGTGAGTGAAAATCAGGCGATCGAGTCACCAATCGACCAACTTTGTGTTAGGCGATTGCAGGGCCGCTACCACATAGATGGACACATCGTTGAAGAACCTTGGAGGAGCTTTCGGCAACATGTGTGGACCAACGCACGAATTAGAAATGCTCCTCCAATGCTAACATGCATGTCTCGGATGTGATTACATGCTGTCCAAACTGAACGGTTCAGAGCCTTGAGGCGGGATCCGAAATGGTTCACATTCGGATCAGTGCGGACGGCTGGGCATCGGTTTCACCAGCGAAAAGCTTGGCACCAAAGAAACCCCATCGATGCAGAGGCCCCTAACATTTTGGGTGGACTCACTTTGGGTCACGGTATAGTCACGGTATGGATGTCTTTGGACGTCTCCGACTCTTGGCTAAGGCTCTCTTGGTCAACCCGCTGCAGGTCCAAGAAGGATCGACAGAGCTGAACCAGGTCCTGGCCGTTGAGCGCTTGGAAAGCGACAAAGGAATTGGGTGATGTATCCGATGTCTGATTCACATCTCCTATGCTCTCTTTCTAATTTATTAGCAAGAATGCAAGTAAGGCATACCAGCATCAATGGCATTAAGTTGAAGAAGAGATGTCGAATTACAACAACAAGCAGAACTTCTATCATGCTCCTGCAGCAAGAATGGAGTGGCAGGCACTTTGCCGGAGAAGCTGGTGAGGGGAGCACAGACTTCAGGCGAAAGCTCCTACGAGAGAATTACGCAACAATTCAATTGAAAAATGCAGATTTGTGCGTTTGCTTTCTTGCACTCCTGCTGCAAGTCTATGTCCATCAGTGACACTGCCCGCAGCATGAGAGCCTCACATCGCTTCAAGACGTTATGCGGCCAGTATGCGGCCATTTGGGTAAAAGAAACGCATGCCCTCCAAGCTACGCTGGCTGCACTGCAATCCTCCACCCTCAACAACAAATTCTGCCTCAAACAAATCCTCGTCAACGATCTTGGCACTTGCAAAGGCCACCACGATGTCGGTGATCACCTGAGGCACGAGCACCCTCGGTGAAGCACCGAAGGGTGCACCGTGCAACCGGCAACTGCAAGTGGTTTGACCCAAGCAGCCTTGGGAGAAAGGCTACGTTCTCCCTCTTTGAATTTGCATCGCCGCAAACATTCCTGTCCAAATCGCCAGATCCAGGGTGTTTTACAGCCCAGCCAACCAGCCAACCAGCCGACCGACCAGCCAAGTGAAGCAACTTGGCATTTCTCAGGTCCGGCGTCCTGCTTCACCACGCTGAACAGGCCTGGATTCTTGACCTGCGCCTCGGGTGAAGTTCGTTCCTCTCTGCGAACACAGAACCGTCGTCGTCCCCACCTTGGCAAAAACATAGACCAGTCGCCCAAGAGAATCTCGATCTAAGGTAGAGATGTTCTCTGCCACATATCTTCCAACCTGAATTTCAAGCAAAACGGTTTCCCTCAGAGTGCTCAAGTCACATCTCGTGGCCACTCAATGTAAAACCACTCGCCTCTTGGAAAAGACTGGCTATCACGTTGCGTGATTCCAAAAGAGTTTGCAACCTTAGTGGTATTTTTTGTGGATCGAATCAAGTCTGTAGATGCTGGACATAACCTCGATAAGATATGTCTGTTTGCAGCTGCGATCGACAAATAGACTGCTGCGATCGGGTGAATCTCTGGCAGCCTGCTCAGGAGTCCTTCCTCGCAGCGTGGCAGCGTGGTGGCCGGAGATCTAAAGATTCCTTCACCAACAAAACTCCAAGGGAACCATCTACAGTACTCAGTCTTTAAGTATCCATGTGTCATGATGTTTGGTGCAGAAGTTCTTGGCCAAGGGGCTTTCTCATCGGTTAAAAAGTCAAAAAAGGCTTTGCCAGCATAGCCTTGGACTGGCAACGTTGTTCAATCAAAAAGAGCGTTCCGAAGAGTCTTAACCCAGAACTCCATACAGAAGTTGGAGTAAGGCCAGGAGCCCCTAGTAGCGTCTTTGCTCCTATAGCGATGCCCTTTGCTCCTAGTAGCTTCTTGTTCCTGCAACAATGATGAAAGTCTATACAGATGAGCGGCAATCAACTCGACGTCGCTCCTTCTCGGGCCCAAACTGCCAAAAGGTCATTCGACGACAATCGTGGAATGTACGCGGCTTGCTTTTGCTGTAGTCATCCAAGGCTCTTCTCGCTAAAGCTTTGTAAATTGCCAACGGAGCATGAACGAGAGGTCTCATCTGTTGTAGGAGCTTCCTGCACTCACTCCCATTGAGATGTCGAATGCTTGCCACTTCAGGTAGCAGCTCCTCTTTTTCTGACTCATTTGGGTTCCGAGTCGTTTTGGGAGTTGGACCAGGATCTCCGGTGGCAAAGTCGGGTTCTCTCGGCTGCTTGTCCATTGAGCTCGTCACTGGTCTCTCCACTTCTTTCATAACCTTGCCAAAGTTCGATCGCAAGAGCTTCAACTCCTCAGTCTTCAGCTTCTTCAGACCAACTTCCCGTCGGTGCTTCCGTGTGATGCTGGTTGACCAGTCCTCGTTGGAATCCGGTGATGGTTCCTCTGTGTAATCAAGGTACTTTCCTGACCCTTCATTGCATTCAACTTCGCATTCGAGATCCGCAGCTACCTCCGCTTTGTCTTTCTGACGCTTTTTCTCTATGTCCCTGTGGAGCATTCGCTGCATATGAACCAGCTTTGCCTGCTTTGATGTGAGTTTTGGATTGAGAGCTGAAGATTGCACAGTGAGCTTGGGCTGAAGATCTTGTTCCACCTTCACCTTGGAATCCGAATCCGGTGGCACCTCTGATTCGCAGTCTGATCCATCCGAGAAAGCAATTGCTGATAAATCTGTAGGATCAGGTTCTGCACGAGAATCTGGATTCAGAGAGAGTTTTGAAAGAAGAGAATCGTAGGTCTCTTGGGATGGCCATGCATGACTGCAATAGTCCAAGCACTCCTTCAACAACTTGCCGGAGTCGTTTTCGCCCAAGGAAGTGTTCTTCAACTTCAAGCTGCGTGCATCCAATTGGAAGGTTTGTGGGTCACACCAATCTGAGTGACTAAGGTGAGCCTGACGTGGCGACAAAATTTCTAAGACCTCACCTTCTTGGAATTGAAGCTCGAGCTTCTGGACATCTCCAAATGCTCCGACCATTGGTTCAACAGGTCATGGCACGGCGTGCCTAAGCAAAACCAAAACTTGACTGACGTACACCCATGTACTTTCCAAACAAATTTGCGGAAGCAGAATATGGATGAATATTGGATGATAACAAGACAAACAATTGGCCATGTTAAACTTCCTTCATGTGAGTTGTTGTGCTCAGGAGCCAGTGGACACAAGAAAGGCCTCTTGGGGACGGTAGAGAGTAAACAGAAACAATTGAGATTTGGTTCAATGTGTGTCCATACGTGTGTAAAAATACCCCACAACAAACCTCGATTTGGCACCTCCCACCTCCAGTTTCAAGGTCCAACACCCAAACTAACTTGAACCAAAGAGTGAACATGTTCTCAAGACCGCTACTGCTCATGAATGGCCACAAAAAACACAAAGTTATGCATTGCAATAAGTTGTGACCAGATATGTCATTCCAAAAACGTCGGGCGCAAAACAAAAGGCATACATGTGAGAAAGCACTGGGCACAAATCAGTCCAAAAGGCATTTGCACCTGTGACCTTTAGCCAGCCATTCCCCACCATTGTATGACCAAATTGTGACAGTGGGCAGGATCAAGGGGCAATTACGTCCTCGAAATCCTGCTGGCAAAAACGACCCAGCATCACGCATTGTTCTGTCGCAACTCAATGTTGAAATGGATTGGATTCGGCCATGAACGGCGCTTCGTTTGGTGACGAGGCTAATAGGGCCAAAACAAGACCCACAAACAAAACAAAATGGAGTCCACGAACCCGAGTGCAAACACGTTCCAAAAGCTACATATGTCCAAATGACACTCTTGTAGGACACTCTTGGTCCCACACTCTTGTGGGACACTCTTGTGGGTCACTCTTGTAGGAAGCTCTTGCAGGGCACTCTTTTGGGACACTCTTGTAGGACACTCTTGTGTGTTCTACTAGGAATTACATTTGACATGCTATGAACTGCTGGTGCAAACGCTCTGCTAAAGTCGCTCTCTCTTTTTCGTTTGCCGGAACGTTGGATTCGTTTCTGGAACCCTTCTTGGATTCACTATGGTGGTCAAAGGCCCCCAACAAAAACTATCAGAGTGAAATCCTACATCGCCCCAAACCCCCTAAAGACGTGATGGGGGATTTCCGGCAAATATACTTTAAGGGAGTGACCAAAGAAGCGATGCATCCGACGGAACTAAGGAACAATGTGACTCAGGACGCCAGAGATCGGCCACAGTAAATCGGATACGGTCTTTTTGTAAAAAACCATGAGGAATATCAGATTCCAAGTTCCACCTGCTCAGGTCATCTGCAATGATGTTGGCTTGGCCGGGGATATGGCCAACATCAAGTTCAATGCAAGTTTGGCTGGCAAATTTCGTCAGGACTTCAACAAAAAAGCACAAAGGTTTGGTAGCTGTGAAGCATTTATTGCTAACAGCTTCCGCGCCAGTATTGTCACTCAAGGATTTCAAACAGACCAGGATGAAAAGCTGCCACTAAAATCACCAAACCAATCTGCGCCAAGGTTTCAAAAGACGTTATGCTCCTGCATATCAGCCTCCAACTGAAAAGGAAGGCGTGAAACATCTTGGTGAGTGAACTTTTCAGAAAACCATAAACAATGTCCTGACTTGTGCTGAATGAAGCCACCTAGTTGACAATAGTCGCCTGCCGCACAAGCATCTGCAGCTGCAGAGCCATTCCAGTATGGTTTCGGTGCCATAGAACGACATGGTACCAAGTGAGCTAACCAATCATCAAACAGTTTCAGTATTCGGTATGAATCTTCGCGGACAGTTCGACGTGAGGAAGCTGGGTCTTTAATGCGAAGCCACAACCTTTTGTCAGGAGAAATGCGAACTTTCTGCAAGTCTTCTTTTGATTGCAATGTAGTGTGTCGCACAGCAATCAAAGTACTGCCAAGTGGCACCGCAGAATGAAGTGGTCTGGAAACAAACTCCAAAGAGTCCGAAAGATGCTCGGCAGGTTTCGGCCAGTCCCCTGGATCCATGCTGTAATGTGTTGCAGGAATGAGGTACAAGTCCTGATACAGGTAATGAATCCATGTACGCATCAATGGAAAATTTTGTGTAATCCACATCAGCAAGCCAATTGTCTTTTCCAGCAGTTTGCGTGTCGTTTTGCGAGAACGTCGCAGTTCGGCCACATAAGATTTTGTTTTTCCAATTTGGGCCGAGGTAAGGTGATAACACCTGCTCGAAAGTTGAATTGCCAACCGATCCAAGTGACCACTGACTCAAGTTCCGATTTGCGCCAGCTGATCGGAATGCGTGTGATCTGACAGAAAAAGCAGCATTTTCTTTGCCTAGCTTTCGCCACCCCCCTTTGGGCCACAAGTCAAGATAGTAATTGCCATTAGACCTTTTCAGTGTGTCCTAGCAGAGAGACACTCTTGGCAACACAGCCCGTCATGTTAGACGATACAGATGCTAGAACGCATTGTATCGAGGCGAGGTGTAAAGCATTTTGAAGTGCACACGCACACCACTTTGTACAGATCTGGAGTTCACTTGATGTGCAGCTATTTGCTAGTTGAAAACTACTCACCGCGCGTGGCGCTCGGCTCGAAAAGTGCGCTGCCTAACATTCCTACAAGAGTGTCCGACAAGAGTGTCCCACGAGAGTGTCCTACAAGAGTGTCCTACAAGAGTGTCCCACAAGGGTAGGAGAGCCACAATAGTGTCCTACAAGAGTGTCTCACAAGAGTGTCCCACAAGAGTGTCCCACAAGAGTGTCCCATAAGAGTGACCCACAAGAGTGTCCTACAAGAGTGTCCTACAAGAGTGTCCCGTAAGAGTGTGCCACAAGAGTTTCCTACACGAGTGACGTTTACTGTACTCGTTCAGTGGTGTTTTGCTGGGATCTTCACTTTGCACCAAAACATTTTGAATCAAGGACTTACATTTGAGGCATCCATTTCATTTTTACATGTGCATGGGCTTTCAGCTGGCTTTCAGTTCATGCTTCAGGTCATGCTTTCCATTTCATGCTGTCATTACTTTCATGAATTATTGTTTTTATCTTTCATCGGCGCGGGGCGATGGATGCGGATTGGAGTACTCCCCCACGTTTGACCTGATCCAGGCGTTACTGTCAATCATTTTGATTGTGAACGCTTTCGTGTTCCGAATCCTGCATTGGCGCCCTCATCGACTCCTCAGGGTTCGGGCCTCGAATCCCTGTATCAGCGCAATTTCATTGCGCATTTTGTTCCAAACGCTGTGGTCGCAACCGGCCCGGTGATTCTCATCATTCTTGTTGGGAACATCGGCATCATCGTGGATAGCACCATGCAACCCCCTATTGAGTTGATTAGTGATGCGGAGTCCGACCTTGAGGATTGGCAGGCCCTTTTGGATGGTTTCACAGAACCTCGGAGCAAGGCAGCCGCCTTACCTCCGCCACGGTCAGGACAGCTGAGTCCTCGGGTTCCGGCTCTGCAGCAGGTTTCTTCGATCGGTATTCTGCCTCACCCTCAGCCATCAGATTTGGTAGTTCATGCTGGCATTCCGCGTGTGGGTTCATGGTCCTCTTCTTTGACGCCACCAATAGCGCCCGGGCCTCATCCACGTTTTGAGCGTTCCTTGAAACCCCTTTGCCAAAACCATGCATTGAAGTTCACAAGAGTGAGAGTCTTTGCCGGAGTGACCATTTTTTGGACCGTATGCGTTCTACCAAAACTGTGCCCGATTCTCGACCGCTTTTGGAATCGCACTCTTCGCCAGTCTTGGACAAGGGCTTGCGCCTTCCTGCCAAACGATCGACAGAGACTCCAACTCGGCAGGTACTTCGAGCCAGGCACTCCAGCGCTAGTCCATTGTTGTTAGCCAAATGGATGCAGTTGCTTGCAGGGGTTCAATCAGTTTCAAACTTGTGGATTAGCATTTCCACCTCGCCCAACAGGGATCTGCATGGAGCCAGGATTTTGGATGGGATTGCTCCCAGCACTGCATTGAAATACATTTCCTCATGTGTGACTTTCCTGAAAACACTGCACTTATTGCGTGTGTCATTTGATGATCTCACAGACACGGTATTGGCTGATGTGTTGATCACTATGTCGCTGGCCAAATCGAGCTCCTCCGCTGGGGGTTCATGCGCTTCCACCATCAAAGCTTTGAAGTGGTTGTTTCGCGTGGCAGATATTCCCACTCTGTCCGCCGTGCAGTCAGCTTTGATTCATTCATTTCTGACCAGTCGTATTTCTAAGGATCGCCGAGAGGCTCCACCCCTCCCACTTTGGGTGCTGGCTCAGTGGGAGCGCAGAGTCTTAGTCTTGATGTCTAGTTGCCCCATTCATGAAGTCATCATACTTGGTGCCTTTTTGATCATGGCTTGGGCCAGTTTGCGTTTTTCGGATGCCCAGAGAATGGACATCGACAAGGTTGTCCTCGCCGACACCAATCTGCGTGGCGTGGTTTGGCGTTCAAAGACTTCCACTGTGGGCGTCCCATTTGGGATCCTTTCTGCGGGTTTCTTGAGTCACGGAGCGCACAATTGGGAATGAAAGTTTTTGTCTACATTGGATACTTTTTATCATAACGGTCAAGTACAGGTACAAGCAATTGATTTTCTGTTGCCAGATTGTACGCTGGATCAGATTTGCCTCCCAATCGAGCCCATGAGCTATGCCATGGCCCTCTATTTTTTGAGGACCATGCTTCATTGTCCCTGGCGTTCAGGTCCCAGTCCACTGCATGGTCTGGATCTGAATTTTTCGATCCATTCCCTCAAGGCAACGTTTTCGAGCTGGGGTCCGCAGTTGCATGAACACATCACACCGGAGCAACGTCTCCTACAGGGGCATCAAGCTTCTCGGTCTTCGTCTCTCGCTGTGTACTCGCGGGACAGCGTTTGGGGGCGTTAGCTTTTCAGAAACAGGTTCTCCTCAGGGTGCAATCGGAGTGGCGCCCCCAAATTGCTCAACATCGAGGATCACAACAGCCGTTGAAAGAACCACCAGTCCTACTTGAAAGATTCTCCAAACCTCTGCCGGTTTATTTCCAGTCCTTGTTGAATTCCGATGGTTTTCATTAGCTACATCACCGG